CTGAATCTGTGTTGTCACACTTGAACTGCCAAACCAACTACAAACTGATAACACAATACGAAGAGCTCTGGGACGAAATAAGTCATGGTCTACATCTAAGCTATGTTGCTCGGACACAGGCGCGGGTATCCGATCCGGGTGCTGAATAGAGGTCATCCTTCGTAATCTAAATTTTAAGATTTGGGAGTACGGATTCAGGTACGGATACGAGTGCGGAGATTCGGCTAAAAATAATTCAAAATTCTAAAAATAGATCTATAAAAATATCCTATATTATGAAAAGTATTCTGTGGAAAATTGATAGGTTGTGGAGTGCAGCCAATAATTCAATCTTTCATTTTGGGAATTTCTCAAGTTGTAGGCACTAGACACTAGCAAGCAGAGGCTAAAATTCAATTTTTCATTTTTCCTCAAATTTGTCCATAGATTGTGGTCAAAGTACCCGATTTCGATTGACCACACCCGATACGAATCCCACATCCTTACCAGTAGTAGTATCGTGTTGACACGGGTGTGGCAGCTAAAATAAAGAGTCCGCACAACATAGCATCTAAGTACAGTGCTAGCAATCATTCTTTACAACATTTTTAAGAAGTTGTGTTGTTGCATGTGTTTATCAGGGCAAAGCAATGGCGTGATGGGGACTGGATGTGCACAAATTGCAATAATCATAATTATGCTTCTCGATCAAATTGTAATAGGTATGCTCCTGGTACTTTATTCAGATTCTTTTTGTAAAGCAGAAATCTCCAAGTGGAGACCACTGGCACACTGTTTGAAACTCGATGGATAATGGGCCCGCCCCTCTACCCGTTTTCTCTTAAATAGCTGGCTTTTGTCTGCCGCAAGGTCGAATCTGTGATATGTGCCTATGCACACATCATGTGTTGCACTCTTATCACTGGGCCCTAGGGACTACTTTATTCAGAATTTTGTGAACCAGTAGTGAGCAAATGTTGGTAAACCCTCAGCGGAGCACCTTAAATTGACTTTGAAGTGTTCATTCCAAAAGGTCTCTTTCACTTTCTTGCCAAATTTCTCTCTATTCTGGCACATAAATGAAAGGATCCTAGTTAGTGTCTTTTTTAATTAAGGGACCTAAGCATTTAAAGAAAACTGCATTTGGCATTTCATATTGCCTTGTATTCTCATTGTGATGATGGTCTTTTCAATCACATTTTCTTTTTCTGAATAAATATAGGTTTTTTAATCACATAAAAAGTTAATGCTCGAAAAGGGTCACTGCTCTCGGAGTAGAGGGAGGGAAGCGGTTGAGGGTTGTTGGCTTAACTACATCAGTTGAGCTATGTAGGCAGAGAGGCAAATGGAGCTTAGAAAACTTGACGGGAAATATTGATTTTATTCCCAATCTTGATCTCCAATCATCTGATTTTCAATATATTATATGTATGTCGTGACATCTTTGTACTTTTGCCTGTGCAGGTGCAAGACTGAGAGAGACGTGCCAGCTCTACCTGTTAGTGTTGCATAGCACTTTAGTTATAACTGGCTTGAACTTGTTGTAGCTTCACAAGATACATTGGTATCCTCCTTAACTTTTTATCATGTTGTGTGTAGTTTTGGGCAATCAAATGAGGTAGATTAATCAATATGGTGTAAATTGATCGTTTCTCCGGTTTTGCTTCAGGAGACCGAGTACATGAGAGAATACTATCAGTATGTTATCTATTTTCTCGTTAACCATTTCTTCCAAATACACATAAAAGATTTATATTGCAATCTGTATTAACATGGGACTTGTTTGGGGCAGCCTGGTTTCACAGCTTATTCTGGGGTGCTAGCAGCATCTGATATATAACATTGAAGTGTGTTTTCCTGGTTAAAGCAAATGTCATCGTTTTCTGAAAGATTTTGTAGTATGATCCTACATTGCCCCGATTCTCCAAAATAATGATGCACCCGTGTCGGATTCTCCAAAAATAAACTATTTTTGGAGTTTATTTTTGGAGAATCTAACACGCACCCGGTGACATTTTCTGAGAGTCCAAGCAACATAAGTATGATCTACTTAGCCTTCTTTGGTTTCAAGTAACAACAACAACAACAACTACCCAGTAAAATCCCACATAGTGGGGTCTGGGGAGGGTAATGTGTACGCAGATCTTACCCCTGCCCCGATAGGGCAGAGAGGCTGTTTCCGATAGACCCTCGGCTCATAAAGACGGAAATAAAAGAACAAGAAAAGAGAATTCATTAGTAACTCCAGTAGAAACCGTTATAGTAACAGAAGCATAAAAACCAAAAGATGAATGACATGCAATAACAGTAGCCATAGTCTAAGGCATCTAAGATAAACAGCAAGAATAGTGTGGGTTCAACATAAACTGCAAGCCATCTAAGGTCAAACCTAATCCAACCCCGATTCACCCCCGTATGAAGTAAGGAAAGCTCTACTACTCCTATCCTACAACCCTAATGCTTAACCTCCAGGCCTTGCTATCAAGGGTCATGTCCTCGGAAATCTGCAGTCGAACCATGTCCTACCTGATCACCTCTCCCCAATACTTCTTAGGTCTCCCTCTACCTCTTCTCGTACCCACCACGACCAACCGCTCACACTGGTGCATCAAGGCTTTCTCCTCAACACGTGCCAGAACCATCTGAGCCTCGCTTCCCGCATCTTGTCATCCACAGGGGCGACACCCACCTTCTTCCGAATATCTTCATTCCTAATCTTGTCTATCCTAGTGTGCCCGCATATCTACCTCAGCATCCGCATCTCTGCTACTTTCATTCTCTGGATATGGGAGTTCTTAACCGGCCAACACTCTGCCCATACAACATGGCCGGTCTAACCACAGCTCTATAAAACTTACCTTTAAGTGTCGGTGGCACTTTCTTGTCACACAAGACTCCAGATGCAAGCCTCCATTTAATCCAGCCCGCCCGTATGCGGTGAGTGACGTCCTCGTCGATCTCTCCGTCCCCCTGAATCACCGACCCAAGGTACTTGATCTCTCTTGGGGATGACGTGTGACCCAAGCCTCACGTCCCCGCCTACTTCCCTCGACTCAGCGCTAAACTTGCACTCCAGGTACTCTGTCTTAGACCTGCTCAATTTGAAACCCTTAGACTCGAGAGTCTGTCTCCAAACCTCCAATCTCTCGTTAACACCGGCCCTCGTCTCGTCAATTAGAACTATGTCATCAACAAATAACATACACCATGGCACCTCCCCTTGAATATGGTGTGTCAAAGCATCCATCACCAAGGCAAATAAGAACGGGCTAAGCGCAGAGCCTTGGTGTAATCCCATAACAACCGGGAAATGCTCCGAGTCGCCTCCCACAGTCCTAACCTTAGTCTTAGCTCCATCATACATGTCCTTGATCGCTCTTATGTAGGCTACCGGCACGCCCTTCGCCTCAAGACATCTCCAGAGCACCTCCCTAGGGACCTTGTCATACGCTACCAAAACTTTCACCTGAGGGTTGGATTCTCCACCTTCTATTCCCTTCCCCTATTTCTCCTTCCGCTACCCCCCTATGTAATTAAAAAAATTAAACTAAAGAATAATAAATTCTCACCATTTTGTGTCTTCTATCCTAATCCCCAACTAAGGAGAGTCGATATCCGTAGGTTACCTTTTCCAAATTTTTTACATTGCGTTAAGGCAGAGTGAGTTATAAAGGGTAAAATTTACTCCATCCGGTGCTCACATCAAATATGCTAACACCATGGTTCAATGATAAATTAATGCGAGAATATATATTAATTAATTATACTTTTCCTTTGTATGCAGTACAAATGTGTCATAAAATCATTGGGTTTGGGTTGGTGTAAACACTTGGTGGTTAGTTTTAGCCGATAAGGGTGTGTGATAGTTGTCTCATTGGCGCCATCTTTCTCATTAAAAGGGGGCAAAGTGCAGCAATAGCCATTTTAAGCGCGCTATTCAAAATATATCCATAATTTATAATATATTTAAAGATTAGCCAATTCACTCAAATTTTAGAAATAAGTGTCCTAAATCTGGAAATTCAGGACTTATAGTCCTGAGTTTTTGAGCTGCTAATTTGAAATTCAGGACTAAGGGGTCGTTTGGTAGGGTGCATAAAAATAATGCTAAATATGGTGTATTAGTAATGTTGGTATTAGTTATGCTTGCATTAGTTATGTTGGTATTAGTTATGCTGACATATTTCTTATCCATTGTTTGGTTTGATGTATTAAAGCATTGCACAATTTCTAAAAGAATTGCTTGTTTACAAAAATATCCTCAAAACCAGTCCATCACTCTAAATTTTTAAAAGAACATATGTTGAGAGATGTTTTTATATGAAAAAGTTTAAAAAAATTATTTGATTTGTCTACCTATATTGTAATATAGAATTAAATATTTATTTATAAATATATATATATATATATATGCTAAGTATTTATTTATTTATTTACTAGAGATATAATTTTATTTCTCACTATTTGGATTATTTTAAACTTGCGTTAATATAATAACTAGCATATTCTAATCAAGCATAAACTTTGAAGGACAATTTTGTCTTTAACTAAGCTAATGCATGCATTAAAACCCATTGCATTGCTAATACCATGGTTTTCTATGCATTAGTTATGCATAGGATAATACCAAATAGGATGTATAACTAATGCTTGAATAACTAATGCATAGGTTCAAAATGTCTACCAAGCAAGGTATTATTAATACACAAAGCTAATGCATGCATTAGATTATCTAATGCATCCTACCAAACGACCCCTAAGTGTCTTGAATTTCTGAACTACTAATATAAAATTCAGGACATAAGATTCAAACTTCTGGACACAATTTTCGAACTTTAGGACACGATGTCCTGAAGTTTGAATTTTGAGGTTAAAACTCTAGGACGTAGTGTCCTCAAGTATGAGCGAAATTGGCTACCTTTTAAATACGTTATAAACTATGGATACTATGTTTTGCATATCTAAGAATATTGAGCTAATTACAGGCACTCTCTTTCTAGATTAAAGTAATAAACCAACAATGATTCGCTAATAAGAAGAAAACTTATTTGATTAACAGCCAAATGCTATGGTAAAAAATCTTATTGAGACCTCTACCATTCTCCTTATTCAAAAGGGCCACAAAATTTAAAACTTAAAATAGGTTTTCATGAATATTGGTTTACTTGATTTCCTTTCTTCTTGGAAAACAATCCACCAAACAAAGGAATTAAAGATTTCTTCTTCAATTTTTTCTTAAGTTGTGAAGGGCTAGTTTCTACATTAATGATCTTAGTAAGTAGAGGAGTACTAGCAAACTTAACAGATCTTTTTTTCTGAAATTCAATCTCATCATCATACTCTTGAAATTGTGTTCTTAATTCAACTTTGGTTGACGCGTTTTCGATGAATTTGAGCTCTTCAATCTCAGGATCTGCGCCTAACGCTACTTTCTGCTTCAGTTCTCTTGTCTTCAATTGTTGTATCTCTCTTTTTGTCAGTTCTAACTCTTCTTTTAGAGATTGAAGACAATGTGCCATAAAAGTTCCTTCTTCTTTAGATTTTTGGAGGTTTTGTTTTGTCTCTTCAAGCTCAATTGTCACTGGTAATTCAATTTTAGGCTGGTTCTGTTCACAACTTGCCTTGGTCTGCACCTGACAGATATGAAATAATTAATTAAGTACATGTACACAAATAATAAATTAAAGCTCAGCCAAATCTGCTTAATTAGCAATTATATGGCGTGAAATATTCATATATATATGCTACATTAATAGAGTTGAATGAGGGTTTAAGCAGTTTACTCCAATAGCAAACTTCATTTTCTTCCATATGGATCTATGTTGCCTTATTTAGTCTTCTTCGTACAATAACTACGCCTCAATCTCTAGGTTTAGCAAGTTGGAATCGACTATATGAATCTTTCATTGACTATGTCGCTCATCTACATTCCTTGCAGCGTTCTTCATATAACTCGAAATCATTTACTGCTAATTTAGTCTCATAGATAAGTTTTTTATGCCTTCCTTGGTTCGTTCGGAAATCATGGTATAGAGATTATTCGGAACGGAAATGTGCCTAGAGTACTTAAGAACAACGACAAAACTGCCTTTTGTGTGTGGCCTTGAATCAGTGAATCTTTGGGAGAGAGACCAAAAGGGAAAGTCTTGGAGCAGTGGTAAAGTTGTCTCTGTGTGACTTATAGGTCACGGGTTTGAGCCGTGGAAGCATCCATTAATGCTTGCATTAGGGTAGGCTCTCTACATCACACTTGTTGGGGTGCGGCCATTTCCCAGACCCTACGTGAATGCTAGATGCCTTGTGTACCAAACTTTCCTTTCGGGGAGAAAAATCTAACTCATACTTAAAAAAAAAAAGACATTTTTGGTAGGTTTAATTTCTCAAATGACCTGATAATACGTGCAAATCATGCATGAAAGCTAATTCTTTAAACTAAAAGGAAAAGAAAAGAACCTCTTTAAACTGTTTGGCATAAATTTGTTCAGCCAAAAACTTTTCTCCGAATAACATGACTGCCTCCTTCACAGATCGAAAAGGCTGTCTCGTGTCAATCTCTACACGTCCCCGCACCACCACTTCTCCTTCTCTTTCCATTTTGCTCGTCAAGCAGAAAAATACTTAGCTTCTCTTCACTATTGTAGAGTAAATATAGAAACTATGATTAAACCAACTGCAACTAATATCAAGTTAATGAAATCTGGTCTTGTCATTTAATGGTTTGATGTTTGGATTTAATTTTATATATGAAAGGAAGAAGTTAGAAGGAGGGACCATGTTTGTTAGTATTAAGTAATTGGTAGAATAATTATTTGGAGGAGTACCTAAAAAGAACGTTAAAAAAATCATTTGAGAAGATAAGAGGGATTGGGGCAATTCATATCTTGGCGTTCACTTCACTAGAATTTATCATCAGTTTGTTAATTGATGCTGATATTTGCTGCTCGGTAGTTGCTCCATCCTATTCCAAATGCCTACTAATTAAACATTGGAGTATCACTTATTTTTCCAAAACAAAAAAAAAAAAAAATAGTTTTAGAACGAGATTTTGCAAAGTTCTGTCGCCGCCATTGGTAGGGGTGTTCAAAACCGAACCGAAACCGAAAACCGAAGCCTAGTGGCTTATTGGTATCGGGTTAGCGGTTTAACGGACGGGGAACAGATTGAATTTTTTTATTAACGGCTTATCGGTTTGGGAGCGGATTATTCAATTTTCTTAACGGATAATACGTTAACCCCTTAAGAATATATATATATATATATATATATATATATATATATATATNATATATATATTAAATAATCAAAAACTCTTCTTCCACTTCCAGTACTCTATCTCTATTCTCTATTATTTATTAACTACTAGAAAAATTTTAATTGCTTGCTTCGTGCATTCTTTTCAATCCTATCAAACCAAAAACAATTTACTTGATTGCTTCACGTATTCTTACCACCTCCAGTAGGCGCAGTGGAAGTACCAAAACTTAACAAACAAGAGATAATTTAACGAGTAGAATTTGCTGTTAAATTGGGTTTAACACATACATCTGCAGGTTTGCTTGCATGGCAGGTGTTCTTGGATTGTTTAGAAATTAGAGCGACATCTAAAGAAAATTGGAGCAGATATAAAACAAGAGCAAGAAATCCCATTCTTTGACCAACATCAGCATACATTTGAAGCACGGCGAAGCAAATTTTGGACCCTTGCTAAATTTGGTAAATTGCGTCATGTGCAATATAGATTGAATTAGGCCGATAAACCGCCCGATAACCGGCCGATAAGAGCTAAACCGATACCAATCCGTCCGACATCTTATCGGGTGGCTAGCGGATTAATACATCTAAAAGTCGATAACCGATAAGCAAAACCGTTAAGAGTAAATAACCGCCCAATCCGCCCGATAAGCAGCCCTAGCCATTGGCACCAGAAATGGACCCTACTTAATACATTACTTTGGGGAGAAATTCAAAAATAGCCACAATTTCAAAAGTATCGAAATTTAGCCACTTTTTATGTAAAGATACATCTGAACAAAAACACTGTTTAAAATCCGGAAAATACTCCAGCATAATTATACTGGAACTCCAGTATATTATAATGGAGTTCCAGCACAAGTATACTAGAGTTCCAGTATAAGTATACGAGAACTCCAGCATAATATGCTGGAAGTTCATACACAGGTGCTCCAATCTCCAGTATATTATGCTGGAACATTCCGCGTTTCGGAGTTCCAGCATAATATGATGGAAGTTCATATACAAGTGCACCGATCTCCAGTATATTATGCTGGACCGGTCCCTGTTACAGCAAAATAGTGACTCTTTTACAGTGACTTTACAAACGTTGACTATTTCTGAATGACCAGTCCGAGTCTGGCTAGCCCGTGCTATTTTAACATTACTTTGTGTACAATTGGGGAAGAAGAAGTGAGAGAAAAAATAGAGAAGATTAGAGCCTAATACATTACTTTGTGTATAATTGATAATTATGTATATAAAAATATAATTAAGGATAATCCTCCTCGTAGGGGTACATAAGTTTATGTTGTAGCATATATAAGTATTCACCCAACCGCTGAAATTAAAAGTAGCCTACAGATATATAATAAGATGTATAATTCATCTATATAAAATATGGGTAAAATTATGTATAACTAGTGAATAATTTATGTATACAGACTAAAAAAGTAAACAGTCAATTTGGTCGGCTATTTGTATAAAGATCCAAACATTAATTAACTTTAAGAGCCATGTGCTAAATTTCTTTTTGTAATGGGTGTTCACTGTCCAATCCAACAGACAAGGTATTAAAAATCAAATGGGGGCAAGTGCACAAATAGTCATTTTCAGGGATGCTATTTAGAGACTAGTCAATACCTATTTTGTCATGAAATTTTAAATTAAAAAATTTAACTTCAGAACATTTTTGTCCTGAAAGTTTGAACTGAAAAACTAAAATTTAGGACATACTGGCTAATTCCTAAATAGCAATCCTTTAGAGTGGCTATCTGGTGCCATTCTACAACTATATTTGAGACCAAAAAATTATGGCCCAATACCCTTCTCCTTAATAACTAGGAAAAATTTCATTCCTATACACTATGTGAAACTTTATTACAAGCCCTGGACACGTTTTTTCTACAAAATCTATATAAATCATTTAAAAAAGAATCCTTTCTGTTGTAACATTCCTTTTTTAGGAGCGAGAATTTGGGATAGTAAAGGATTCTACCGAGATTTTTTGCAACGCATTAGTCGTCATTAATTAAGCCTGAAATTATTCCGTTTCTCTCACAATTTTGATACTCTATTTTTCGTATACTCAGTTTTTTACTGTATATTCTGGTTTCACAAGCAAAATCGAATCAATTATCTACAATTGTACTGAATCACGCGCAATAATATCGAAAATAGCTATTATGCTTCAGCTAAATGGTAATTGGGATAGCTTTGGGAGATACACAAATTTTCATATCGACGGAATTGTACTCAGCGAAGATGCAAGCTATAGCCAATTGATTTCTACAATCGCAGAGCATCTAATGATCGATACATCAGAAAAAATAATCGAAATCAAATACATTATCAACGAACATTATCCGCTAATGGAAATTAGGAACGATATGGGAGTTTATACATGGAGACGAAAAAGGAAAACAAAAGCTTAGGAATGTATCCGTTATGTATAACAGTGCGGGATTTCGATTTGGAATGCTATCTCTAATTCGAACGCAATTGCAAGTTTGATCTGTTATACCAGTGGTGAAATTTGTTTATATCTCATGTGTTCTACAATTTTTCTACATTATTTTTACAAAAAAAACTACTTAACATGTGTAGATCAAAATAAATATTGAATTTCATTTGTTCTACAACTTTTCTAAATAAGAACTACATAACATGTGTATATCAATTGTTATGAATATGTAAGTCTTGAATTTTATTGTTCTACAATTTTACTACAAAATATCTACAATATATATCATAACTGTATTTAGCTTTAGTTGATTGCAGGTTCATCTGGAACACTGAAGTTGATTGGTATGCCAACATCTCTGGTGATAGTGGAATATGAAAGTAAATCATAACAGAAAATACACCAACTGTTATTGAAGTAGGCCAAGTATACAAAGACAAGCAAGCAATTGCTAGTGAACTGAAGCACTATTCTGTCATGAACAAATTTCAATTTAGGGTAAAAAAAGTCTAGTGCTAGAAGGTACGAACAGTTCAATGGTCAAAAATCATGTCTTTGTTTAATTTGTAGTTTATTTGTATTTTTTTGTTCTTCAGTGTTTGTAATATATTTGTATACAAATTGTAGATAATTTATAGTTTTTTTGTATATAAATTATTAAATATAAGATTTTCATGATTAAACAGCCTATTTTTTGTGTATCTACACTCACACCATTGTTTAAATTGTTTTTATTCTGTAGCTACTGCTTGGTATGTGTTGGGAAAGATTGTACATGGCACTCAAGTCCACCAGCATAAATGATTCAGCAATGTTCAAGGTTCGAAAATTCAACAGCTTGCACACATGCTCTTTGATGGACAATACATACATACAACGCAAACCTACTGCCATGGTAGTGGGTAGCATGGTTATACCAAAATATGCTGATCCTAAAACAATTTACACACCAAAAGATATACAAACTGTTAGCTTGTATGGGTCCACCAAATCGTAGAGTACCTGGTCCTCTACAAGTTTCTGCTGAGAGCACTTAGTAAGGCAGTAAGTAAATGAGGCAGAGGATTTTTACGTGGAAAAATCCCACACAAGGGGATCAAAAAACCACGACCTACCTTGTAGGATTTTAACTTCACTAACTTGTAATCTTACATATTACAAGCCACTTTACAATGCTTCCGATTGTAAAGACTTCAAACTAACTTGTGGCACCTTTACTACAAGCCACTTTGTGACTATCCTAGTTACAAAGGCTCTTTCTAACTTGTGGTGCTATCACCACAAGCCACTTTGCAATACTACGATTACAAAGACTTTTCTTTATGACTAAATCTGGCCACAACCTAAACTCAACGAGTCTGAGGATTTACAAGAGAATTCCTAATCAGTAAACTTCTAAGTAAGCAATTTAGGAGATATTGTAAGTGCAATAACAAGGTTACAACTCAACTAAGACAGCAATAATCAATCGTTTTGGAACTGGTCCGTAGTGGCGTTCAACCTTGTTCTTCAAGCTTGAGAGAATGATCTTTTCTGTTTTTTGTTGAAGGCTTGAATGATGAAACTGAAACCATTCAGTGATGCTTTGTATAAAAACCCCTTTGGTAAATCTTGGTCACATCACTTGAAATGATGTGAGTACTTTGTTTGGTTAGAGAATGAGTGGGCTGACAGTGTGGTGCAGTGCGGCAGAAACAGTGCCGCCAGTCACTTCAGTTCCAGCTGTGTCCAAATGACTTTGTGTTGCTATATAGGAACCACAGGAGCATCAGGTCTTTGTTTGGTTCATAGCTCCTATATGTGTAGCAATTCATCTTTTACTGGAGTCCGTTGAAGTTTGCAGCAATCCAAAGTAGATCAGGTTCCCTAACTGGTTCTTATCAGAAAGTTTGTTAGATCATCAAAACATAAGGTAAGAATATTTAAGATCTATCAGTTTCCCCCTTTTTGATGATGACAAACGTAAACAGTTATAAGTTCAGAATAAAGGCATCAGAGAGCAGTGTCAAAGAATTCCCCCTGAGACGATGCCTTCAGTTACACAAGAACCAGTTCCCCCAATGTGGTTCCCCCTGAGTCTTTTTTCCCCCTTTTGGCATCATTAAAAAGAATAAAAGTGC